CACCTGGAGGAAACCCACGCTGACACAGGGAGAACACGCAGACTCTGCACAGAGGGGCTCCCCCACCAGTAACCCTCTTGCTGTGAGGCGGCAATGTTAACCACTGCACCACCATGCCGTCTACATTACTGCTCCTGGCTTCCAGCCTCCCTCCTCACACCTACTCCACATCCAGCAGGGGGCTCATTCTGCCTCCTCCCCCATCCTACGAGTTGGTTGTCTCTTGCTCCTTTCGTCCAGGCCCAGAGCTGACAACAACCTCTGCAACCGATCTCCACAGGGAACAACCATGCCTGCCATCCCTTGTCCGTGCACCCCTGGTACTTCAGGGCTTTTCTCTCATGGGCCTCACACCCTTCTCCTCCCATGGCACCGTCTGTTCAACAAGAGAGATGTTCTTGTCTTCTGCTGACCACAATACAGTGCCCAGGCCTTGGGATGTGTGCACCATCTCTGGGAGCAGCAGCCTCTTCCCTACGTCAACCCTTATCTGCCAGGGCCTGACAGTCTGCGGAAGATGGGCTTTGGTGTTTTAGTTAAGAAAGGCCTGGCTCCTACATTAATGAAGCTGATGGCCTTTTTAGATCCCGCTCTGGTTGGCCTCTTCTTGTATCTGTTCATATTGTGTTTTTCAGAATAAGGGCGAAAACCAGCATATTTTGTGCATGTGAACAAAGTGATTAGTGTGAATGTTTCAGTTGCATTATTTCCAAAGATAAATTACGTGTTACATTTAAATTACGTTTCATAGGTGCCATTCAAAGCAAAATATATAATCACAAGAGTTTAACCATTTTTCTCTCTCTCTGTCTCCAGACTCTGTCAGGCTGGTGAATGGGACCAGTCTGTGTTCAGGCAGACTGGAGGTGAAGTCTAACCAGTCTAACCAGTCTAACCAGAGGTGGTCCTCAGTGTGTGAAGCTGACTTTGACCAGCAGGATGCAGAGGTGGTCTGCAGGGAGCTTGGCTGTGGGGCTCCTTCAGTCCTCCAGGGGGCGCTCTATGGAGAAGTGGAGGCTCCAATGTGGACCAAAGAGTTCCAGTGTGGAGGCCATGAGTCTGCTCTCCTGGACTGTAGAAGCTCAGGCTCATATAGAAACACCTGCTCACCTGGCAAAGCTGTTGGACTCACCTGCTCAGGTAGAAGAGGAGCTGCAGCTTTGATTTGGTTCATTTCTCTTACACTCACTTTGTTCTTTTACTGACGACTCTCTGGTTTCTGTTCAGAGCCTGTCAGGTTGGTGGGAGGATCCAGTCGCTGTGCAGGATCACTGGAGGTGAAACAGGGAGAGTGGAGACCAGTATACGCCTGGAACTCTCAGTGGACCCTGAAGGAAGCAGCTCTAACATGTAAAGAGTTGGACTGTGGCTCTGTTGTTTTTGTAGGACGGAGAGTCAAGTTCTCAGATGGACTTGTATGGACGATGACATCTGGCTGTGTTCACTCTGCACCTGCTCTGAAAGACTGTGTAAGGCTGTACCCCTCTCTCTACACACTGATGACCCAGATCACCTGTTCAGGTAAGTCCATCAGTGATCTCATCTCTGACAGTTAGGGCTGTGATGATGATAGCGTTACTGCAATAATTCAGTCACATGACGTTACTGCAGTGATGAGGACATCACAGTGCATTTGAGATCAGAGCTGTCATACACATGCCCCGTCAGGAACACAGCCTCTACATGGGTCAACACACTAACCCCAAGACATCATGGGATTGCCAGTGAACAGCTAACGACAATAACAACTTTTTTCAACGTGGAAAAATTGATAAATAATCCCAGAAGACATTCAGTGTTGAATTTATTTGACAAAAAGACACTGCAGAACTGCAGGCTGGATTGCAAAGCTTCTGAAAGAGATAATTGCACTGCAGCCAGTGTTGGAGCAGCACAGTGGTATTGTTAGCATTGTTAGCCTGTTCAGCTGCCAGCCTCCTCAACATCCAGCTAGCCCCCTTCACTTTTCCAGCAGCTGGGAAATAACAGACGAGACTTAAGTTGAGGTTGTTACTGCTGGTTGTTACCACTCTTGCACGCCGTCTTCAGAACAAAAAGAAGATATTTATATGGATTTTAAAATGGCAGCTTTGTGCTCTGCTCCAATCGATGGACTGCAGTGTTTGTAGCTCCACCTTTCAGTTTCAGATCAGTGTGCGAGGTATCTCAGCAGAGAGGTGAGGAAAAACAGGGCAGAGTAGAACACTTCTGTTGGTACCATCCAGAGCATATTTTTGTCCGTTACTCAAGACAGCATCCAGCGATTATAACAAACTTTAACACAAATGTCTTATAGGTTATAATAATGTATATATATTCAAAACGTCACAGGTCAACCTCACTGTGACATCATAATGTTCTGCAAAAACACACAAACAACAGACAAACAACTGGCCATCAGTCAGCGTCATATCTCAGGAACAGAAGGAGAGACATTTGGTCAGATACTGAATTGGTGACTAGATCTTCTGTGTGTGAAGCATCCATGTTTTCACTGACATGGATGCAAACTTTGAAGTGCAATTTTTTTTGCAACGGCGTGTTAAGGAGGCTGTTAACTATAATCTGGTGTCATTTTTTTTCCTTCCACTGTTCACGGCTTAAATTCACATATAACTAAGTTTATTTAAAGACTCAACCTCTCGAGGAGTCATGTTCAACCTGTGCTGTCTTGTCTCTCCAGGCCACCAGGAGGCAGACATCTAAACGACAGAGGGACACTAATCTTGCTGGTTCAGAGAGGAAGAAGACCTGAGAACACGGATGCTCAACTGATTAGATCTGATCCAGGATTTTTAGGACTTGGAGACGAAGGCTGAATCCAAATGTTCACACTTCACTGCACTTGCAGACTCATGGACTTTGCGGGCGTGTTCATGGGAAGTCCAGGAGTGTGTAGGGCTCCAAGTCCACCATTCATTCAGTCCACAAGGGGCCTCAAGCTGACTTTCTGCGGACTTCAGAGAGCCTGCTTGGGGTACAGACTTCATGAGTTTAATTACCCACAATTCATTGCAATATGGACGTGACGTTTAAATTTTTCTAAATTGCTGACAGACACACACACACACACACACACACACTCGCACACACAAAACCACATAAACTTATTATAAATTGTAACATTAAAACGTTACTTGAATAACGTTGGCCAGATATAAAATTCAACGACATCATGATACAGATATATGTAGCAGTATAGGCTATAGAGGTAATCAATATGCATTTCAATATTGCAGCCTAACCTTTAGAAGCTGTGCAATCTGATCACGTAGGCGATTGCTGCAGTGATCACCATATGCAGTCTCTCAAATGACTCCAAGCCTGTCTCTTAGCTCCTTTTATAACGCTGCACACTCCTGCTCTCGCAGACTTCACGTGATGACGGTGAAGACGTCACATTATGCACGCCTGAAGTCTGCGAGGGCTCAGTGTGCAGGTCCAGAGGGTGGAGATTTGGATTGAACCACAGAGAAAGGACACCAACACTGAGGCTGAAGAAGAACATCATCATCAGTTGTCACAGACTCTCCTTGCCAGATTGTTCTTCGCCTCTGTGCAAGACTTTCAGTCGTTTGTTGCCAGACTGCTTCCTCGGTGTCGACCCTGCCCGTCCCTCACTCTCCGGCTTCGTCTGCTCCCCAGTAAACCACTCTGCCTTCTGTTTTCAACCACTATGCTTCTGCCCTCCTGGTGCCTGTTAGCCTGTTAGCCTGTTTCCTGTGACGTCACCCAACTTTTCAAAATGAGTTTACCGGTCCAGTCACCTAAGATCTTCTGAGCTGTGGTTTGCTTCATTCGTCAACTCACCTGTGTGCTGCTACAGTGTTCCACGTGGAGAGCTGCAGCCTGGTTCTGTTCCCCTGGGGAATCTGACACTCAACACTGACTCTCTGTTGCCTCACCCGTCTGCTCTCACTGTACTTATTGAAGTGGTGCATTAAAGCTCAAACTGTTCCACCTGTCCCCGGTGCTGTTTTTGGGTTCTAACAGGCATCCCCTGGCGTCTTCCATCAGCTGTGCCGGTGACTTGGCGCTACTAGCTTAAAAATACATGTGTCTGTGGATGTAGGAGCTAAATCTGTTTAGCTTGTTTAGCTTTTATATATCTTAGTCTTAACAAGACCGAGCTGGCTGAGCAGTTTTGTGTTTATATCTGGAGTCCTCCACGCCAGTATTGAATGTGACCACGGGGTCAAAGGTTCCACTTGTGTCACTGACTTTCAAAATAAAAGGAATTGCGTCTTGATAATAGTGATTTAGATGTCAATATATTACACATATACTGCACATCTTTTTACTGCATTGTATTCTGAAAAATAAAGAATAGATTTTTGGTCTCACCTGCTGCCCGCCCTCATGTTCTTCATTTTTACTTTTGCCATTCACATCACTTCACCTCCCAATTTTGTATTGAATGTTTCTTCTGTAGTTTCTATTTTAACTTCTATTCACAGTTATGTAGTTTAATTATTTTGCTCCTTTAATTATCTGAACTTATTCCTGTCATCATGCTGCTTCAACATCTAAATTTCTCCCCTGAAGAAAGCTTACCTTATCTTATTTTGAAAGCCACATGTGCCCACATGTGTGTCTTTGCACTAACTTCACAGAGTCTGAGGCAGTGTGATGGACTGTACTTCATGTGGTGCTTCACATGCTGCAGCACAGAATGAAGTAACCCTCCTCCCTGTCAGCTCGCTCTGGACCGTCTCACTGCATTTACCTCGAGGTACGTTTCTCTTTACTGACTGAATTATTGAACATGTGGAGTTGTGTGAACATGAACTGATCAGACACTGATTATTAAGCACAAAGAGAAAAGTGTTGATACAAGATCTGCTGCTGCTCAGATGCAGTTA